TGCTCTCACAAAAAGTTATCAATTTCAACATTATAGGTCATTTTCAAAAGTCAACAAAAAGGGACTTTAAGTCAAAGGCCATAACTTGAGATTGGTAAATCAAAATGACATGGGACCAAAGGCATTGGTTAGAGGACTCAAAGACCTTTCCAAAATGTCCAAGAACATGTGAAAAGCTTAAAAATTGAGCAAGTTATGCCTTGTGGAAGTTGGGAAATTTTTGGGAATTTTGAAAAGTCAACTTTACTTCAAATGACCTAAAATTGCTAATGGGCCCTCTTTTCTTCCATGATTCATCATTCCAAGCATATGCACGACCACTTGGCCCAAAGGGAAGTATTTTCTCAATTTTTATTTATTTACTTGAATTTATATTAATATTAATTCATTTAAATTATTTAAATATGTGAAAAATATCTACTTTGACCTAAAAAATCTTTTTATGCATGTTTTGCTTTCAAAATCTCGTGCACATCCCAAACATGGAAAGAATTGGACTAATTGATCATAATTGATACAAAATACACATGAAAAGATTCAAAAAAGATCTTAAGGAAATCAAATATTGAAAACCATTATGGCCATGGATTTTATGCAATTTTGTTGACCTAATAGCTTCCATACATAATCAGAATCACAACCCTAAGCCTTAGAGACTGAGTGCTGCGCTGAAAATATCATTGAAAACTTGGAAAATTGTCAAGAAAGTTCAAAACTGAAATCAACTTTTTAGGTCCATTCAAACCCTAATACTCATTCCAAAAGCTTCCTTGTGGTTCACTGAGCATATTCCAATTCATAACACTCATCAAAAGGCAAAGAATCGCTGTACAGAACTCAAAATTTTCTCACAAAATTGCATACACGCATCTTGATTTTAAAGCATTTTCATGACATTTGGTTTACATATTCTTGTTCAATGATGCTTGCTGATGCTTATCATGTGATTTAATTATGTTTTTACGCGTTATATACAAAAATGCCATACTTGATTTTTAGGGTTTTCAGGACTCAGAATTAGGGCTTCTCAAACAAAGCAAAATTGAGGCTTGGGACCTTGGCCATCAAAACAAGCGCCTTTGGACGGACAGAAACCGACCCTCGCGCTCAATTTATGAGCGACTGAGGGCTAGTCGTTATTTTCTGGAAACAAGCCTAAGAGAACGGCTTCAAAACCGTGGCCTATGAGTCTTTGTTTCAGAAAAATAAAAGCTGGGCGAAGAAGATAATGTGTTGGCGAAGCATGATTCGTTAGTTTGAATCTTCGCGCGTTGGAACCACTAACTATTCGTTTTGTTTTTATAATATTTATTCATTATTAATATAACAAATGCGTGATGATGGCCCAGCGGTACAGGTGTTAACTGGTGACGCTCATGACCTGGGTTCAAGTCCCAGGTCTGAACAATTCCAATATTGTTTTTCTATATTAATTCCTATGCAGCGTCAGTATTGGTGTACACCATGCTCCATCATCATCCAAAGGCCCACGCGTCCAAGAGATGCAGATCAAGGGCTCAGATCTGAAGAGCACCATGTACCATAGTCAGACGCATCACAGGCTTGCACAAAAGTCAACGAATTTCAATGCTTAATGGGCCTGGATTCTTGGACCAACACCTCCATCTAGGGCCTGAACCCCCCCTGGTTTGCTTTTCTTTTCATATTTTATTTTTTTTAATTATTGTGTTATTTATTTTTATTGTTTTAATTAATTTTCTTTTTTACAAAATATAAAAACATCATAAAAAATCCAGAAAAAGATAAAAAATGTAATAATATTTATTTTAATTATTTTCATGAATGAATTGTATAATTGAATTTAGTATAATTAGGTTCTTTTGCAATTTTAATTCCTTTTAATAACAAAAATACAAAAATATAGAGTTTAGGTTTAATTGTTAATTTTATCCCTTTTAATTTCTTTTTTTTTACAATAATAATGTTTATTTTATTTATTTTCTATAATTAAATTTTGCATGTAAATTAACTTAGATTTAAATTAGGTTAAAACTTAATATTTTTACAATAAACTTAAAAAGCCATTAGAATTAGGGTTTGACGCTTCATTTTAATTTTAATTAATTATTTCTTTCCATTAAATCTTAAAAAACACCAAAATACTAAAAAACATTTTCTATTAATTGTTAATTTTAATTTCTTATTAATGTTAATTTTGCAAAAGGGTCCAACGCCCATCGTTTTAATTATTTTATTTCGCGCATTTACTTTATTGCTTAAATATTTATGTAATTCTCCCAAAGCGTTGTAACGATTTTATTTCTCGCACTTTTATTCTTTTGCTTTATTTATTTTCCGTTAAATCGGGTCCGGTTTAATTTTGGCGATGTGGACCCGCGCCATTTGTAATAGCTTTAGAATTTACTTTCCTCGCAAACTTTTAAACTGTTAAATAAGCATGCAAGAATGAATGGCCCTAATTAAAATCAAGCGTAGATCACAATGAACATGACAAGACAAATATCAATGAAACTGACACACCAATTTGCACACACCACCCCTAGGGTACGCCTCACTGTTGCCTTTCGAAAGGTGGTCGTCGAGTAGAGGACGTCTTAGTAAGTCCTCATGATCCGGGAACCTGGCATGAGGGTAGCTTCTAAGGTGTCTTCCCATTGCTCCGGTGATCACCATGTCCCTAAAACTCGAATTGACCCGAACACCTCCAACGGTGGTGCTACTTACCTCTCAATGGTGGGATGGCACTACTTTTAAGGACATTTACACAGACGAATTCCTTAGGGTAGGTAGGTTCTCAAGGATACTTGCTCTCTTCAAAAACAAACAAAAAAATCTTTTCACACCAACACTTTTCAAAAGCTTTCAAAGCAAATTTTTCAAACACTCTGACGCACGAGTCGATCTGAAATTTTTCAAAGAAACTTTTTTTAAACCACATTGAAAAGCAAACAAACCATTTTTGAAAACACAAGTGAGCAAGTATCTAAGAGCCCATGGATAACCATGGATAGAAAGGGTGCTAACACCTTCCCTTTCTATAACCTACCTCCCGAACCGAGAGCAATCTCTTTAAGGAATTTTTCTGTGCTTTTGTCCTTTCCATTTGGAGAAAATAAAAGACGGTGGCGACTCTTGCTTCCGCGACATTTCGCGAACCAGCGTTAAACAGTCAGTTCCAGATCCACCGATCACACCTTGGTAGCTTGAACCAATAAAAGAATGAGGATGAGATCCTCCTTGCACTGATTGTTAATACAACCTCCTCTTATTTCTTGAAGAATATCGTGAGAACCAAAGATACCTTGATCCCATCTCAAAAATTCATGAGTATGTATGATGAAACATAGGCCATAAAAAAATTCTGAAATCAAGAGGGTAAATTTTAGGGTGCAACAAAAGTATCATACAAATCATTAAACATAAGTATTGTTTGTGTAAAACTCATCTAATACATAACAACATAGAAAATGATTAAAGGGGTAAGAACGATGAACATCACCTGTTTGTCTACAACAACCATCTCAAAATGTTTCTTGTTAGTTGTCGAAACTCTCCATTTGTGATGTATCTTTAAAGCAAGCTTCCACAAATCTTTTCGCTCATTGATGTCAGTAATGTTGTCGCAAGGTCTTGCCATGAGAAGAGTCGAGGACAACGTTTGGTGGTGGAAAAGAGATTTTGAGATTCACAGTCGGCTGTGAGAAGAGGAGATATTAAGAAGAAGAGAGATTGAATATGGAGAAGGACAGTGATTGGGAGTTGTTTTGAAAATAATAGACGGTGTACAGACAACCCAACTGTATCGATGGGGGCATATTGGTTGTAGTGCAAATTTGCATAAAGCAAACATAAATCATGAGGTATTTAGTTGAAAAAGGTGAATAATGGTAACCAAGTTACGCTGCAGCTCAAACATAACACACAAACTGTACAAATAGGTAGTTAAAGACCAGATTTGTAGTTGTATATACGAGGTAGTAAAAAACAACATTTTGTACAAAATGGATAACATGGAAAATGAAGAGAAAATGGCAAAGAAATAGTATCCAAAACCTCAAGGGTTCTTATATAGTAGATAAAAAATTTTCAAATAATTTATTTTTGAATTATGAAATAAACAAACACTTATATGAA